ATATATATATATATATATATATATATATATATATATATATATATATATGTATATAAAATATACCTTTATCCAATTGAATTCCTTCATCGTATTTATGAAAAAGTTCATATCGATTCAACCAATATCTTTGGAGATTTTTTTCATTCTTTATCTCCTGCGGAAGCTGCATAGTATCATCTATCGTTTTCATCCTTTTGCATCGTCTGCGCTCCCAAAGTTCTTCTTTGCTGTTTTCGTTACCCTCGAAAACGTCTAGTTCCGTAAGTTCATGAGTGATAATTTCTTCGTTATCGTCCCATTCGAATTGGCTGTCCAACGCTTCTGACGAAGACGAGAATGTACAGGTACGTTGTTGATTGCTTATCATCTTACTGGGGCCCGGATCACCATCAGTATTTGTGTCTTGGCAAATAGTCGTAGTGGAATATTCATCGGCCTTATCAATTACGGGTTCCAATTCTTCATGTCGTAACGATCTAAGATCCTTTAATCAATAACAATGTGACACACACATGAAATTTCTTTTATAGTTCTTTTATAATCAGGATTCGAAAATTATCATATTTTAGGACCAGTTTCTTATTATTGAAAAAAATTAACTTGTAACAATTACAACATAGAATGAAAACGTTTGCACACATACACAAATTAAACTTGAAAATATTTATTATTTAAAATTCTACTTAATATTTATTATCTAAAATTCTAAACTTCATACCAAAGAGTTATTTGTATTATATATTTTGTTTTTCTCCTTTAATGATATCGATGCGTAGCGTTTAAAATAATAAAGTCTCACTTTATTTTGCAAAATTGCCTCAGTATCGCTGGATGACGGCTCAGACAATCGCTCGCTTCTCGGTCTCACAGACTTTATTGTTTTCCAAATGATATTACGTTTACGGAAGGTAATATCACCGTACCATTTAACAGATCTTTCGGATTTGAAGAAAACTTCCATCAATGAGACATTACTCAGGCCTTGAGAACTGACCGAACCCCTTTTCTGTCGGCTTAAAAAGGAAAAGAAGAAAAATTGCTATATTTCATCACTACTATCTAAAGCGCTCAAAACGGCAAACGCAACATTTAATTTTGACGAGGTACTTACCTTCGTCTTCGAGAAGACACGGGAACCCAAGACACGGAACGCTCCTCTGAGACTATTTGTTGATCTTCTTCAGCAAACGAGCTTGATGTAGCAGACACGCTTGGATCCACTGCTAGATTCTTCAAGAGAGCACCCACGGAACTTAAAATCAGGTTTTCTGTTTTATTTTTATACGATGTCGAAGGTCGCATATTCCTGGATATTTTACCATTTTTAGAGGAACGGACTTTATTCGGTGAAGACTTATTAATTTGTATCGCATCGTCACTTAGATCAGCCTCGGCATCGTATTCGTCGGACATAGATCTACACTGATCTACACTGTGCGCTTTCGCATAACTCAATACGAAAAGTTCATACTGTTGTCGATACTGCAACTCGAAGTGCTCCCACCACAGTTGCTGCCAGTCTTTATCGTGTTCTCCCCGAAAATTGTCTTCGGGATCGGAAGTACTGGTCGTATCGCTTTCCTGTGCGGAACTCTCGAAGAAAATGTCGAGGTTCAATGAAAGAGATGAGGCGGAAGAGCAAGAAGAAAAGGAGGAGGATGAATCGTAACTGGAACTAGTTAACGTCATTTTTGTGACATTTGTCATGGAATCGGAAGCAACATTCGTTTTCGCTATTGAACCATTAATGGAATCGCACCTCGTTAGTAATCTTTCGTCTTCTGCATTAGAATACTGATTATAGTTCTCTTCTATACTTGGTTGGCTTAGAGGATTCCAGCCGTCTCCGATAGCCTGATCTTGCGGTAATTCATCGAGTATACGATCGTCGCTTGAATCGTCTCTATGAAAAATTCCGCTCGAGGTTGAAGGTAGAAATTCACAGTTCCTGCACATTTCGCTCGGGCTGCATGTATCATGCTCGTAAAATTTTTCTACGGCTGGTTCATTAACTTCTGCATATTGCGGCTTCTCGTCTTCTTTCGCCGTGTTACTCTGAAAATAATCAGGATTGATGTAATCCGCATATTTCTTAATCCATGATGTCCAGATTATTCGTTCTCCGTTTTCTGCCCAGAAATGTAACCACGCCTTGTGCATTTCGGTTTCATCACTTCCATGATACGCGGAATAGGAATTAATGTAAGGAATATAATTATATTCCGTAAAAGAGTTATCTTCGTTGTGTGCTTTGCTTGTGGTATTGGTTGCTAAACTTTGTGTTATTAATTCCTTGTCACCTAATATAAGTAAAACCATTAAGATTCTTTTTTTTTGTTTTTCTACAAAATGAATCATAATTCAAATATAATATAATATAATAATAATATATATAATAAGGTGATACTTTGACATTTTCTTGATATGATCTCATGGATACTTACATTCAATGTATTCAGTCAGCATATCCATGTTTTTGCAGTCATTTTCAGTCACGGCCTCTGTAGTCTTAAAAATATTCCCATGAGGTGCTGAGAGATTCTGTATGTTTTTTACCTCATGTTGGTCACGATATTCAGACAGGTCTGCACCAGAGTCTGACTGGTGCAAACCCAGTTTCTGGGCTGAAGCATGTATGGTGGATCGGTAAGCAGAATCACGTACTGAGTCATGTTCATCTGTAGAATAATTGTTATCTGTGTGTGACGCACTGCCATAACAGCTTACTGGTTCTTCCTGTGTAAAAAAGTAATAATTCACTTAAGAATATAATATAAAAAAACAGCAAATAATACAATCACCAAATCATTATACTTTATACTATAAAAACTATTTTATCTCTATTTTAGTATTTAGTAAATAAAATAATTATACATCATGCTTCTCTGTAGACTGAGTCTCTATTCTAGATCCCTTGTCGAGATCCAATGTCCATTCCATAAAATCTTTCTCAATAGCTTCTTCTTCGCTGTCATTTTCTGAACTTAAAACTGTACAACTCTTAGTATCCCTACAAAACACATTTTAGAACAACTTATTAGAAATATATTAAAGACATCTGCTTCAAAATAACTTCAATCTATTGCATTAAAGAATAAAAAGATAAAATTTGATAGAGCTACAATTTTTTAATTTTTTCTTACACAATTTGAATAAATTTTTTTCTCTTGAACTCTTTGGAACTTTTAGTTTTGTAACAAAAATAAAACTTTTTGAATTGTTTTTATTGTAGTAACTGTGGAAACATACATAAGCTGTATTTTCTTCTTTACATGTTCTTTCTACTGATCACGCTGGCAAAAACAATTAGGATTACAGTAAACAAATAATGGTTATATAGTTCCACAGCTTGGGTCAAATATAAAAAGACATAGCTGAAATATAAATACCTACTAAATATTAAGATAGACCTCAAGGAAGAAATAATTGATACTTCAAATATCAACTAGACCTCATTATCATGCAAGGACATTAGATTTATATATATACATATATATGTGTGTATATACATATATACATGTGTGTGCATATGTGTTTGTGTGTATACACATTTTTTTAAGTCATCAAATGAACAAAGATAGAAATTGGTCTTACATATTTACCCTAAAACCACTCTGCTAACGACACAACCGTAATAATCATCGACATTATCGGCTTTCTCACGGTCAACGAGGTAGATTTCGGCTACAGGTTCCCAGAACGAATCACACATCACGAACACGCTCAGTTTCACTCAATTTAACATCATACGATCGTTATACGTCGTAAGTACAACATGCCTCTCAAGTTCGAGTATTAGCCATCAACAATATATAAAAACAATCAACCATCTCTTCAGCTGCCCACCATGCGGAATGAGATTGGCGTGTGCAGCACCCGCGAATTTATCATATCCATAGACTCGAAGAGAAGATCCACCATGCATACGTGATTTAAAGAGAAACGAAAGTAAAATCAATTCTGTGATTTGGGAAGTGTGAGAACGACCTCTCGTAGGGAAAACTTGAAGATAATAGATCGTTGAGTCATGTCACTTGAAAAGAAACAGAATGGCTGATTTATTGTTGAGTTGTGTCATTTCATTCTTTATCAAGTGGTGACTTATAGCGGAAAACTTTAGAATTAACAAAGCAATAACGACTTACCAGACGATCACTCTCAAGTTTTTCTATAATCTTTAGCAGGGATTCAAACCATACTATTTGAGTTTTCCGCGACATCGTTAGATGGCAGCACGTGGGCCATTTGTCAACTTCTATCGGATTATTACTTCAGAGTATAGTTTCAAAGTCTCCGCTACGAGTCGCCACTATTTTTCATAAGAAATCGAGCACAACACATGGACGTAGTATACATGACCCCGTATACGGCCAGAAAAGTGAACCCACATGTAGAAAGAGACCATAGATATAACATACATAGACTCCGCATAGTCAGAAAAGAGAAGCCAATATGTACAGCCTTTCTGTTCTCTGTCTCTTTCTGCACAAAGTGTGCAATAAGATTTAAGTAAGACGTTTACTTGCCAGTTTAATCGGGGTGCTATTGCGTTCTATAATATTATGGAAACGAGAAATGGATGCAAGCGCGACCAAAAAGTGACAAAATAGGAAGAAAATTATAGCCCCTCTATTCTCGCTCTCTTTCTAGATGTTGGCTTTACTCTATTAGACGATAAAACATAGGGCATTCGGAGTCCATGACATAACACGACTATGATTAATCAAGTGTCTTTTATATTTTCACGATTCGAAATTCAACTATAACTCCGATACACAAGCTATAACAAAAGATAGTGAGGTAATTCGAAAAGTATTTTATAGCATAAATTCTAATTTTCAAATATATATATTAAAAATATAAGATAGTTGTTACGCGCGCGCATTTTTCACTAAGATACATTGAGTTGAATAAAAAATAATAAATTTTTAATCTTCGACTTTATTTTTTATTGAGTATAACGATAATAAAACGTTATCTAAGTTATATAAGTTTGAGATAAATAAAAACTCGTTTTATAACTTGTTATAAAATAAGTTTTTATTTACTTCAAACTTATATGTACACGCATTTTAAAGAGCAGACTTCAAACTTTCCATTTAACGCACCAATTCATTCTTTCCAACAAACGCACCAATTCATTCTCTCATTGTGAGCGATCAAATACAATACGATGTTTTTCGTTTCAGCAATAAGTAACTCGATGAAAAAAATTAATGAAACTGATTCATCTCGCACACTGCGAGATGAATATTTCCCAGAATACCCGACAGATAACGCTATCTCGCGGGATGCTGCGGTATTTCTCCGATGCGAACGGAGCAATGGCGTAGGCGGCGATCCGTGTGATAAATTAATTTTTATTACTTCGTGGGTGGCGGCTCTTTCTATTGGTCGCCGATCGAGCGCCTCCCACTTCGTACAACAGAGCCTTCTCCAGCTTTATTCCGTTGCGCCGGTGATAGAACGCCACACCGTTTGTCTCATCTTTAGACGAGCTGGAAGCAAAACAAACGGGGGGAACTGATTGCGATATCGTCGCGGAGATTGGGAGATTGCCGCGGCTGGCGATAATGCGCGACGGATATTCATACGAAGATGCATACTTCACGGATACCCGCGCAACACGCAGATCTCCTCCGCGACCGCGGATCGTTAAGTCACGCGTCATTGGGTTTATTTACGCGCTCGTTCGATACGTATTTTACGATCGATCACGACGACGTCAGCAAAATCGAACGCGTACATGTTCCAGACAGGTACGACCGCGAGGAATAAATAAAAAAACGCAATCCTGACCGTGACTGTAAAAAGATCATGCGTTGCGAGAACATTAATTACTATTAAAATAGTTATCAATGATTATTGCAATTACCAAGCCGGATATTCGTGGGTTGATGAATCAAATGATCGTATTGTTTTCGGCTCGCGTATTACCGGTGATTGTTTCTCATTGTAATGAAAAACGTTTTATAAATCAAATAAAATAAATAAAATAAAAAAGTCCATTTCTAAGAAGTAGCGAAAGACGTTTGCGTGAGCGAGTGACAAGCCTGCGCGCTCGACGCTCGACTGCGTGGCGCAGGCATTGAAGTCACCAGCGGCCACGCGTTGAAATCTCCAGCCACGACGTTGAAGTCACCGAACGCTGCTCGTTGTTTCCTCTTAAAAATCGCTATCAGCAGCGTGTAATCGTTATTAGTTCGGTGGGAAAAATCACATACACTCGTTTTAACTTTTTTTCTGCTTTTATAATCTTTCAATAATATTATAACACCGTAGCGACTATTAATAATTACTACGCAAATCAGTACACGTTCTATCATAATTAATTGTTTAACCAGTAACAGGTACTGCCTTTTTAGTCAAGCTACGGGTATCATGGGGTCCGGCGGACCCCAATAAATTTTTGCTATTTTTAACATGATAATAAAAGGTAGGAAGAAAAATGCTTTATAGTTCGAGAATAATAACTTACTAATATTATATTATATATATAATATATAATCATAGATTATATAAAAAATATAAACAGGTATTGTTAAATTAAACATAACATTAAAATCTAGAGGGTTTTTAGATGCAATCGTTACAGATGGTGTTTGCACATTTAGTGCATACTGGTTCATTGCATCTTATACATACTACTTTGGTTTTCATATCTTTATCTCTAGGACATTTATTGCATCTTACTCTGGATGGCCAAATAATGTTAGATCTTTCAGTCTCTTCAATTTTTAAAATAGATGAAATTATTAAACGCAATGGCTTATGAATATATTGAGTTGTAAGACGTCTCTTAAGTTCAGGTTGTACTAACTGAAAGGCAAGAGCTTTTACTCTTTTGTGTGAAGAATGAGTCATATATTGAGCTGAAGATTTAAAAAATTATTTTTATAAAAGTTACGTTAACGGTACCATGGGATCACTATGATCCCAAACAAAAACAAATCCATGTAATTTACAGTTACTTACAAATAACTTGACGGTCTTTTCTTCTGTCATACTGAAAACTGTTACTTGAAAAGTACTGAAGATATCAGCGCCACACAGTGGATAGTTTGGGAATTATAACCAAAATAAAATTAATTGGGGTCTTTGGGACGCCATGGTACCTGTTACGGGTTAACGTTACACATGCATTTAAAATAACATATTGCATGTAAATTTACTAAAATAAATTGTCAATAATAATGAAAAGCTATGACGATTATTATTCAACTAAAATATATTATTCACACTTTTTTCTTTAAATCTGCATTTATATGTTCGGAGGGTGGAGGGAGACAGACAGACAGAGAAAGACAGAGAGAATATCACGTTTGTACGTAGAGATCGTCTTATTATAAAATAGATGAACTTACGACGCGACATGGCAGCGCGAGATCTCACGTGTGCGGACAGTGCTGTGGCCGCGATTGCGTTTACTTTGGAGCAGCCGCACCTGCGGTAGCTAGGGTGCGCGAAAGAAAAAAAAGTACGCCGGCAATAAAGTACTCCATTATACGACGCGGTAGCGTTTTCTTCGATTACGTTTACGAGGTGGCTGACTGCTATACTTACACGAGTAACCGTTAGACGTAACCTCACGCGTGTTTTATAGCACAAGCAGTTGTATCTACCTCTACGTCTCCGATTCGCGATGCGTTTTGATCGCTCAATTTTTCGGAAATTCGTAAAGCGCGCAACGATCGGATTTCCGAGGATCTCACATTCTGTTCCTAGAGTTTAACGCATCAAACTCTGTGCTGAAAGTTTAACTTTGATCGGATTACAGATCAGATTATAGGTGGAAGATCATAGATAAGAATAAAGACACGGCAAGGAAATGCAATTAGAAAAGCATATATCTTTTTCTCGCTTCATTTGCTTCTTGTTGGCCGTATGAGCAATTTTGCAGATGCAATTAATTCTATCTTACGTGTAACTTAATAAAACGTGGTGTGATAACGATCTTCGACTCTCCGACGCGCGACGAGTCGTTGTTCTCAACTCTGGGACCTTACACAGATCCAAAATTTGGTCTCGGGACGCGAGTTCGCGGGACCCGCGAGAGACCCCGTGACTCTTCGTCCGGCACGCCACGTCGTGGAACGGAACGAAATTCTCTTCATCGCAAATCTGCATAAGATACCGCTGAACCGAGCAGAAAGGGGCCGGCGTGCGGGAAGGGGTAGAAGCGCTCATAGGTACGTATGTCGTCTCCTCGGTCGCGGGAGAATCGCCGCGGCTTCTCGCGTGGAGCAGGTTGCAGCTAGAAGGCGGGGGAGAGAGACGGACTGAAGGCGGGTAGATGGTGAGGGACAAAGTGCGATACGAAACAGCTGGAAGCGACGGAGAGAGACGAGGCGTGAGCAAGAGAGAACAGCTGGACCGAGGTGCCTCCACCGCGGAGACGGATGCTACATCGAGCCGCGGTGGCTCTCGAGAGGGAAGGAGAAAGAGACGGCTGGAGGGACGGACGGGCATGCAGAGACGGAGAGAGAGAAAATAAGAGAGAGGGAGGGAGAGAGAGCGAGAGAGATGGCTGGAAGGAGGGAGAGCGAGAAGACAGTGAGAAAGACGAGAGCGGTGGCGGACAGAGAGAACGCGAAAGAGATCACCTTGCCAGGAGCGAGCGAGACCGCGAGAGAAGGCCGCGGTAGTCTTTCTCGGCCGGGTAGGTGAGATAAGGACGAGGCGGACAAACGGACTGACGAAGGTGCCCGAGGTAGGGGATACTCAGTCTCGCGGCCACGTGCTACACGAGCGCACGCCCCGAGCCGGCCGGCGGTCCAGCCAGCCACGACGCCGTCTTCTTCCTCTTCTTCGCCCCCGTATCATCCCGCGCGTTTCCCCGTTCCACTTCCGATATCGCTCATCGGTTGACCCATTCCTCATTTCGGGCCCGTGACCCTTTTCGTCGTGCGAGTCGCGCCTGAATAGCCCGGGACAGTTCGGGAAATCGCGCGAACGCGAACAGTGGCCGGTGCTTCCGCAGTTTGCTCCGGAAGGAGGGTCGCGCACGGTGACCCGGAAGAACGAGCTGGAGGAGGGCACTTGTCGTTGGCACTTCGAAGCCCAGGCACAGCGACGACACTCACGTACTGTGATTCCGCCCGACGGACGATCACGTCGTCCTTCGTTGCCGCGGAACATTGTCGAGCACGAGGTGCGACGCGAGTGTGCATTGGAGTACACAAATGGATCAGATAAATATCGGTTTGGTGCGATGACGTTATTAACACGGCGGGGACGAACTGCTTGACGGCACGCGCGCGGTGTAATGCGGACGAACGTGCGCGTCGTCGGTGTGTGCTATCTGTGCTTGCGAGCGAGCGGCCGAGAAACGCCGACGATGTATCCTTGTTGTTGTTGTTGTCGTCGTCATTGTTGTTGACGTCGCGGCGGACTGACGATGCTGTGCTCACGATAAGCGCGACACGACGAGAACCAGAGGATTTCGTTCGGGAGTGCGTTGACAGGAAGAGGGATACAGTGATAAGCGGGAGCGTCGTTGGAATTTGCACAGGTACGTCTTGGTGCGCGCAGTTTTCCTTTTTTATGCACAAGTGTCCGAAATCTATTGGTTTTGACGTCAATGACAGTTCTAGTCTTCCGATTTTTTTCCTTTGATTTTTCCAAATACAGGAAAATATAATGGAGAATTCCTTAATTTAAGCAAGACTGAGAGGAAATTTTAAATGTGCTCGTTATTTCCTATTTCTTTCTCTTTATCTCTTCCTAATTTGTACCTGAAGTCTTAAGCCAGAGAAAGATAAAGAACAAGAAACAGGAAACGAAGAGCACATTATAGATCAGATTTAAAACTCTGAAAAATTTAAGTTATATTCAGAAAACGTACATTAATAATAATATCGGATGTTATCGCCTTCTTGCACTTTTTGTTAGAAGTCAACTTGACAAAAATTGCTGGGACTCTCTTTCTCTCTCTACTTGTAATATATTCGTCATGTTAGTCCGTTTGGACGTACGATACGATCAAGTTTCCACGGCGATGTTCGATCAACATCGCGAGAACATCTTGAAGCGCATCGCGCGAGATTAATCTGAGCGCCGGTCTCTGCCACTTATTTATAACATAATTTTCTAGTGCAACATTTGAATGCCGTGTCGTTCTCGCTTTCCTCATATTCAGTGAACGGTGACGTCACGCTCTTGTGTAAGCGAGTTGCGAACAATGTCGAAGAGCGCGCGTTTCGATCAATAACGCAATGATACCTCTCGCGCGAGCCGGACGTTTGGTTGTTTTATTTATCCGAGACCTGTCACTTCGACGCTCGATTAATCTCCCGCGCCGAAACCGATTCACACCTGCGACGCGTGAGCTTCTTTGATCAAGCCGCAGAAGTTGATGGTGTCTCGGCTCGCTGCCGCTCTGACACGTTGACACCCAACACCCGGAGCTTTCAAAGCGCGGACGCGGATGCTGCGGGAGATTTAAAAGCACGCATTCGGCACTCGGCACAGCTGCAGTTCGAGCCGACGATTGCTCGGTCGCAAATTCACGTATGGGAATCAATCGATTCGATCGGCAACGCTCGGCATTAATAACGCGCCTCGCGAACGGCTCCGGCAGCCGAACCTTTCGCAGGCCGGGCGATGCCGTTACATGAAAAATCCATTCGGACCTCGCGGCGATTACGATTAATTTGTCACGACATCGGCCGCGGCGGAGGGGAGGGGCGCAACAATTTCAACTGTCTGCAGCCGGCACGGTGATATCCTCTGTGACGTGCCAGCTCACAACCGGTTCATTAAAACTGCAGTCCGCTCGTCACTCATTGGTTGCCACGGCTTGGCAGCGCGATCGGGATGTCCGCTTGGTAAAGAGAAAAAAAAAGGAACAGAGAAGAGAAAAAGAAAGGAGGAACGAAGCGCGTGCACATGTGCGTATGTATACAAACATACACGCGCGCGCGCGCGCACATACACACACAGGCGATGCGTTTCGGGCACCAATGTGTGTCTTACCTTTCGATCATTATTATTATCGCGAGAGAAGATGAGCAGCGGTAGCCGACTGATCGCGATGCTACGCGCGCGGGCGTCTCTCTCTCTCTCTCTCTCTCTCTCTCTCTTTCTCTGTCAAATGGGAAAAGAAATATCGCCGGACAATCTCGGATTATTAATAGGAGCGGGATAGGAGCGGCGCTGACTTTCGCAAAGCGAGAGGATCCGATAGGATCGATAGAGAGAAATGACGAATTAGCCGCGACGACGCATATGGGAGGTCATTAGAAATTGCAGTTATTTCCGACGCCAACTACATTGTTTTGTTGATCTGACAAGAAAGTATAATAGTAGTAACGCACATATAAAGTTATTATCACTAATACTATAGTAACATTTACTGCAGAAATGATCTTGACTACAAATCTTTTGCTATACAATTATAGTTACAAATATCGAACACTTTTTTCTCAGTGTGAGCCCCATGGAAACTTTCACGGATTGACACATCGGGTGTCATCATGATTGCAAGAGTGATGGTTGCAGAGTATCTCGATATCTGCGATATATACCGAAGCTTTTCTGTTTCGTAAAGAAAATTTCGACGTCGAGTAATTAATTCGGCCAGAACACGTTTATACGTATCATCTTTGACTCGCATTGGCTCACGAGCTTGACGCTTCGCGACGCGATCCAGAGGCCTTACTCTGGACGCATAGAGAACATCGAGACCCGTATTAATAGTCATTACTTGAAACTTGCCTCAGGTGAAATACTCGGCCTGAATTCAGAGGTAGATATGAGTTTTTCAGCTAAAGCGCGATTACAAATGTAATATCGCATATATTATATGATTCAAGTGAAAAACCCGAAACTAACTCTAAATTCAGATCTGAGTACCTCACGTGAAATAAATTTCAAGTAATGATTATTAATACAGACCTAAATGTGCCCTTTGACATCCTAAGTTTTGTTTTTCTTCAGTATCACGCTCAGAGAAAAAAATGATTTATCCAACTAAAATTGTAGTTATTTTTAGCCCCAACCATATGTTTTTGTTGTTTTAGTACTAATGATAACATAAATATAAGGTTATTATGACTAATTTTATGTAGTGGAATTTAATAAAGTGTTTTCTCCACCATTATTTATAATAATTATTTCTCTATGTGATTATAATTACAAGTGCCAAATGTATTTGTTTTCTCTGCACGTCTAACGTTGTTTCGGTTTGAGACTCGGAAAGAGTATGTTTAGCGTTCGATACACGTCCAGAATACGGCCTCAGACGTCGTTCCACACGTCGAAATGTCAGACTGACGCCGCCAATAGATCGCGGCGACTCGTACGATTTAATGCCGCGCGCGGCGCCGTTGCAGCAGTGCTAATTACACCTTAACACCCCAATTATTTCGCAAATTAAAGGTACAATCGATATTACGACGCCCGCGGCTCGCAATAAGACTGTTCGCGCCGCGAGCGTTCACGCAGGCATTTATTAGCAGAGAGGGCGAGGAGGAGCGTGAGTCCCACCTTCTCCTCCTCGTTCTTTAAAGTCCGAGGACGCGTCGCAGTCTGCATTAATATCGCGGAGACGTGTAGCGCATCTTCGCGCCGTTCGATGACAGTTGAGACATATCGGCGGTGAGATAATAGTTTTGCGCGCAAACGAGAATGGCGTCCTTCGGCGCCGGCTAATGAAATACACGCTCGTCTCGACTCGAAAACGCAAATAGGAAAAACCCTGATGCCACCGATGGCCTGTTACCGCCATCAGCGTCGTCGTCGTAACTCGAGGACGCGTGTTTACTGCCGCGTTACAATTGCGCTACCGCTCCGCCGGACGGGTGCGCGCGCGTTAATCCGTGAAAACAAGGATTTATCGAAGCCACGCGCGCGCGCGCGCCGAGGCGACGATGTATTCAGCGGAACCGGTCTTCCGCGCGGGCATATACGGGCTCTTAATTAATTTGTCATTAGTCTGCGAAGACGGCGCGCAATAAAATTTATCGGCGGCAGCGCGGTGTGCCGCTTTGTCGCGACGTGGCCGATTATGTTCGATTTTAGCGCACCCTCTCGCGAGGGTAACCGAGAGAAAGAGAAAGAGAGAGACGAGAGAAAGAAAGAGAAGAAAGAGAGAGTGAGAGAGTGAGAATTCACACTATCAGAAAGCAGAAAAGTAGAAATCAATTAGAACTCGCGCTGGTAGTCAAGCGATTGTAATTGACAATTTCTGTCTTTCTGCTTTTCTGCCAAGCTGCGAATTCTTCCTGACACGTTCGCTCGCTCATTCGCTCGCGAAATCGCTTGCCCAGTCTTGCATTTTCGCGCGACGATTCTTTCATTGAGTGAGCGAGAGTCTTCCACGTTTGCCACTACGTCGAGTCGTGATTATTCTCAAGGAGGTCATGCGGCGAGTGCAATTCAGCGCTACAAACTGTAATGATGAGTCTGATAGGGAGGAATTTCCTTCGTTAGCTCGAAACCAAGGGTTATTGCTTACGCCCCGGGTGTATGAACCTTCTTCGCGCAGGTATTTCGGGATGCTTTAAACGGAGTGGCCATACTCATCTACAGAGGGTGTTCTGGAAAGCACATTCTTACGATAAACTGCTATTAGATGCGAAGTTGAGAAGCGAGAAACGGTTCTTCCGATATTCAGCCGTGCACCGCTGATGTGAAGGTTCACGCCTTAATGGCTTTGAATTATCACCGATCGACGGTTAAAAGGTTTCGACGAAGAGGGCTGTGGGGATGCAAATTATACGCGTTAATTGTGGATTTTACGCTTGTTTGTGCTGGTAGCCATTAGTGTTCCGGGTCAGACGCGTCGACTCTCCTCGCTTTACGCCACCGACGCCGCCAACTTCTACATGTTACCGGCAGCTCAAACGAGCGGCGGTTTCTAGTCTCGCCGCTATAAATTCGTGGCATCTAAACGCAATCACGCGCTTCAATTACAATCCATGAACAGTCGAAATCTCGTATACAGTCTTCACTGCTACACATTCCTGCGCACGACGCGATTGTGTTGCAAGTGCGCGCCGATATTACTCCGTGAGATTATCGTAAGATTAGCGCTACCGCCGCCAATTACCGCGTTCTTAATCGTGGCTTTGTGATTGACTAATCAAGCCTCCCGTGACGTTGCCTGCTATCCTCCTTGTCCTCCCCCTATCCCCCATTATTAACACTCACTTTCGAATCGCGTTGCGGAAGCTGGATCGACTTTCCGCGCATCTACCGATTTGACTTGCGGAAACTATAGACAGTCTTCTGCAAATCTACCGATCTGATTTCGCACGAAGAGTCGAATCACTCCCGCGTGGAAATTTGGATCCTACTCTTTCGATCTCAATATCTCATTTAACGTCTACTTTGATATATTATCAGAAGTTTATATCAACCTCTCTTTTGACTTCTATTTGAATTACAGCTCTATCGAGAGTCTTTAGAATCTATAAGTAGCATATTCTGCCATTTGGAAGCCCCAAGCAGGACTTCGATTTCCAGGTAGTATCAAACGTGACACTGATCCTTCAGAATGTTAAAAAGTTCAGGTTGAAAGAGTAGGGCTAAAATTTCGACTCGGACAGCTTCGCTACTTTACATTGTATTCCGCAAGGGATCATCGTTTCTCTCGGCGTGCGCGCGATGGATTTACGACATCTCCTGTTCCATCTCGCGTTGCAACGGCAGACCGTCGCGGAGAGTTCCTCCTCAGCATATTGAAATTAAATCTTGGTGATCAGCCGCGTGGGGCACGTTTACGCGCGCTCGCGCACGCCGGCTGGGTTCCCACGTGGCGCGCGGACGAAAATTAATACGTGGCAGCGTCTATAATTAGCTCTCATATTTATGCGTCCCTCGCAGGGCGGGCTGCGTTAACATGGTAATGGCGTTACACCGTTGTAAACACGACATGTTATCTCGAGCGATACGCGAGCGAGTGAAAGCGCAGGGCCCGCTGGGGGATGCTCGACGACCTCGCGATTTCGGACGACTCTCGACGGCGTGCTCTCCTTCTCTGTCCTTCCCGTGCATCCGTGTTTGCGTTTTGCCCCTGCGCTGCTCGTATTCTGAAATAATTATTGCACGCCGCCGCGCGCTAAAACGCCGCCCGCATATTCATTCGCCGTAAAAACGTCGCGTTGATAGCCGGAGAGTTATCCGTTATCGTATACATTCGGCTGTTTCGTTATTTAGGAGGTTATTTACGACATCCAACAGCAATCTAATTCTGCGCATAGTTATACGCCTACTTGATATGTTTACGAATGAATCATTGATTGTAAAATATCGATTCTGGCCGAAATTGTGAAGAAGGCTCAGAGTCATTCGTATGGAACATTGGTCGCGCGTTCAGCAGAGAAAGCTGCTTTGCGACCGTTGTAAAATTCGTGAGTCTGATTGGCACATGTTCTTAGATTCAACTAAGATTAAGAGCAGAGTTGCAAAGCAGCTTTCTCTGTTGAACGCTGACATTATCTACGGGCTACTGGTACCTACAGAATCGGCGATGTACATTAAGGTTACATTCTACACAAAACGTTCTCTTTGAAGAAAATTTTATTGAAGATTCGTAGTATATGCAACATGAACTATAGATCTTCAGTAAAATTCTCCTCAAAGAGAGTTTTGGACTGTTTAAATATCCGAAATTGGATCTGCGATCGAATAATAATAATAATTTAGTATTTTACTATTGATGAGTACAGCATAAAGATGTTATTGATTTTCCAACAACCGTTCGTTTCTTCTCTTGTTTTTCAGGCAGAGAACGGCCGGAAATCGCACGTCGCACGAACGTTTCGGTGACAAGCGCGCAGCAACACGGAAAAAGCGCGCAAAATGTTGGCTCGCTACCTCAAACGGAAAGAGGGCAGGTCGGCTTACGGGCCAGGACGGCTGACACCGACGGATTAAAGAGCGTCGAATGGACGTGGGCGATTTGTCGAGCCCGGGAGGATTGTCAGGGAGCGGAACCATCTCGGGTGCGACGGGTGTTGGTATCATCGCCAACACGACATCCGCCACCTCAGGGTGGTGGACGCCTACGTCGACGATCACCTCGGCAGCGGCCAACACCGACGTGGTGAGTCCCTCTCTCTCTCTCTCTCTCTCTCTCTCTCTCTCTCCCTCCCTCTCTCCCCCCTCTCTCTCTCTCTGTCTTTCTTTCCTTGTTAGCTTTTGCAAAAGCTCCTAATCACGCAATGCTTTGCCGGTGAATGCAAAGTCGCGAAATATCAGCTTGCTCTCTTTTATGACGCTTTCAAAAAAGTACAATACGCTATTCTTCTTACATTTCCTCATTTCATTTCATTTACGATTTATCGTGCAGAGCGGAAGTATATTGCGTTCTTTATTAAGTATTTCTCACAAACAAGGACGTGACATCGTTACTAAAAATATCCATTACGTCAAACGCGATTATGCAGTTACACGGTCAACGGTGGACATAAAAAAGGATGATCAGTTGTAATAAAAAGCTTTATTAATGTCGAGGGTTAATTGTGTCGAAAGCAAGAGAAAGAGAGAGAAAGAGAGAGATTCACTTGTCACGTAGCCTTTACTGCAAATTACGACCTTTCCTATTATTCAAATATGGTATTTCTATGGCATTTAATGCGTTTAATCACGGACCTCGCGATTCAATTAAATTACGGTGTCTCTCGCAAACTGATCGGGTTGAAAGCACGTAGCAATCGCGCGAATTTACGTTCGTCGTCGCTCGCACGCTTGATTGGTATTTACACAGACTGAATTATGCTCGCTTGAATCGCAATCGAGGAATAACGGAATTGCGGGAACACTGGGGCTCGGCGAAGAAGAAGCGTGTGTCGCGTCTTCTCATGTAATATGAAAAATAAGGGAGAAAAAAAAACAAGAAGATACGCATTACGTCGTCACCTGCGCGCTCTTTATCGCACATCGCGCAGTGGCGACCATGTAATGAGATTGTCGCGCGGGTGGGCGCGCGATGGATGTAACGACCGAGAAGATTCAGACCGATGCGGCGGCGATCAGCCATGCGTGTCGTAATGTAGATTATCCACAAACGCACGAGAAGAAGCTCGGCCAGGTCGGCGCGAGCGCTATTTAGTCCCCCGTGTCGATGTGCAGCGGTCTGCGGCCGCGGGGATTAGAACCGAGGTGACATAGCCGCGTCATCTGTTGGACGTTTAACCTTTTTTGCCTGCGCCTCGGACGGCTCCTTGCCGTCATTTCCGTGAGAAGTCATCAGTCCGTGGCCGCAGCGCATACGCTCCCAGGTTAATGAGATCGAAAGTCGTTTTCGAGTACCCGCGTTGTTGTGCGGCCCGACTTTGCTTTGACGTTTGCGACGATAGAAAGACGGCTGAAATCCGGCCGCCGGCGATGCACTTGTGAAAAATCGATTAGTCGTCTCCTTCTCTCTTTCTCTCTCGCGCGCGCGCGCGCGCGCGAAATATTTACACGGCAGGTTCGGTCGATATTCGCGCGATAACAAATAAGTAACGCCGACACGGCTCGGTTGTCGAAATAGCCCGGTGATTTGGATCGCCGTGGTGGAAACTTCATCCACTCGTTTGCTCGCTCGCGTAATCATTTTGTAATCAAACCGATTCCGCAATCACGTACGGCGACGGTGGCGGTGATGCCTAAATCCGTGGTGATCGATTCGAGCACCGTCACACATCCGTCTCGATGCTCGGAGAACGAGGCGCTATTAAGGCTCTTAGCTGGCTACTCGCCGCGGCCATCTTCATTTCTGACATCAGAAGAGCTAGATAAACGTATATTTAAAATCTCTGCAAAGTACGTCGAAATAAAGAGATATATCTTAAAAATGACACTTGCAATCAATCAAGCACATCTCGAAAATACTCCAAACGTTTACCTCTATTCTTTCTCCCGCTTTCTCTTAAGTATAATTTAAATAATCCACTGTCTTTAAGTAATATAAATAACATGTACACCTGATGCTGTCTATAGTTTTATAATTGTTCCAATTTCAAATTCGGGTCTGTGAGACTCACGTCAACGGCGCCGAGTTAAATCGGTGTAGAAAATATTGAGGAATATGAATCTATCGGTGTTTCTATGATTCAATGAAGTTGAAAAAACGAAATATATGTTTTTAAGAACGGTAACGTTGGGAAAGTCCTGGGCAAATTTTTCAGCCTTGTTTAAAGTCCTAGAGTTAAAAATGGTCGTAAAGTAATTACACGAGAGTCCCTCCGTACAACTGGACGCACGCCGAGGAAATTCGAGCGACGCTCGGATCACCGCGAGTGCGCGTTGATCACCTGTGATAATTCCGCGGACTCGTAATGCGCGCGATCAATTTCTCGTCGCGTTACGAAAGAACGGCCGCTCGGCCGTTATACCTTGGTTCACCCTTTTCGTGTGAAGAGAATCAGGCCCGAGCGAGTCACATCCTCGCTCTTTGCCCGCCACAATCCGCACGCTCACGCCACACACGCCGCCGCCTCTTCTCTCTTCGCCTTTCCTCGCGGCCGAGCATCCAGGGCCGCGGAGGAGCTGCGCGGCCCGGTAATGACTGGCTAACTAGGTTTTAATAGGAACGCAGTCTCTCTCGCAACGAAAACCCCGCGCGTCGTCGCCGCCGCCACCGCCGCCGCGTCGATCGCGGCAAGAAAGGATTCTGCCTCTTTTTTTTCCTTTTCTTTTTCCTTTTTCTTCTTCTTCCTCCGCCGCGTCGTCACCGCCGTCGCGACCGGACGGCAGCTTCTCGCGATGCCGTTCGGAGAGGATCCGCTCCGCGGAGCAGATGCGAGTGCGCTGATTGACGAGCGCAATACGCGTGCGGATCGGCCGCGATCGCACAAAGACTGCATCCGACAACAGGTTGTAATCGGAACTCCGACGCGAGATCAAGAATCCGGGAATTCTCGAGATTCTCATGAGTGACGTGAAAGATCACGGATCTGTGATCACGTGATAGTGCAAAAGTCGGGAAGGAAAACATGCTTTTATTAGACTTAAAAGAATGCTGGATACCGACTTAATTCGTGCTTTATACCGTTTTTCTACTTAATTATATAGGTTTGCAACTGTTCATGCAGAGTGAAAGTGCAAGTGCCAACGAATGGCGGAGTACCTTATGTTATATCAAAAACAGAAAAATTTTAAAACAAAAATTGTCTTAAATTTTGTATGTAACACAGGATACTCTTCGTCATTCATTAACATTTTCACTCTGTATAAGCATTTGAAATTCTACACTGCTAAATAGGAAAATAATGTTATATATCGATAACCAGCATTCTCTTAACGCGATGGATGAAATGGAATTTTAATTTGTTTTTAAGTTTCTTTAAATTATGGAACAATTGGTTTGTCTAAATAACACGGTTGATGAAAGGGACGAAATATATATGAATGACGGGATATCGATTTTGTGATGGTGGTTAGAAAGAAATATTATGCAGTATTAAGACTCGTGCAGAGAGAAGGATCCAACACACACATGTCTCGCGATTGTATCGCGTATCATAGTGCTCCTCGTTGTTCCGATCTCGCGTTTCGAGAGCGCGCGTTAGATCGGACTCGAGAAACCCTTCTTCCGTGATTGGCAGACATTGTACGAGGATCAGGCGCGATCATCGGGCACATTCTGAGCGTCCTCGGGACCCCGTGCGTAACCACATGTCGCATCTTTTTGTTGCAGATGAATCAGCTCTGCAGGGTTTGCGGAGAGCCGGCCGCGGGTTTTCACTTCGGGGCCTTCACGTGCGAAGGCTGCAAGGTCAGTATCTTCGCGCCGCCATTCTGCTACGGCTATTCATCCGTATCGTTTATTCACCGGCGACGAAACAGAAAAAGAAAGGAAAAAGAAAAGAGGAAGGACGAGGAAGAAAGGAGGAAGGGACGAGTCGCGATTATTACCCGTTCCTCCTCCGCGACACTCGTCCGCCTGAAATTACGTAAATCGCGTAGAACCGCGCCGAAGTGACAAAGAGCGATATCGCCGCGTTGTCTTTTGTGAGCTCGGGCTCTCTTACGTGACCCTGCGGTGCAAGGATACCCCAAGGATTGCTTAAAATCCGTCTGGCCGGTAATTTACCGTTAAATGAATAATCACCGTCGGGACAGCTCCGGACATTATCCCTATTGTTTAAAGCTTCAATTACGGCTCGTGAACGGTCTCATGCTCACTTCTAGTTCTACCTTTCGCAGCTCCGAGACCTTCAACAACTATTTATCTAGGTTTAGGTAGTATCTAGGTTTGCGATCTCCAGAGAGACAGCTAAATTGTATCGATAAATTTCACCGTGCGCTCGATTGTGTCGTGTAACAGATCGACGGCGAGTCGCCTCTATTCCGTCCGACTGATTGCTGCCTTGCCATTGACCAATGCGCGGCTCTTTCGCTTTCTGTTACACAGTCCTTCTTCGGGCGCACCTACAACAATCTGGGCAGCATCTCCGAATGCAAAAACGGCGGCGTCTGCGTGATCAACAAGAAGAACCGCACCGCCTGCAAGGCGTGCCGCTTACGAAAGTGCCTGATGGTGGGCATGTCGAAGTCGGGTTCGCGTTACGGCCGCCGCTCCAACTGGTTCAAGATACACTGCCTGCTGCAGGAGCAGTCGCATCAGGCGCAGACACGCCTGATCAAGGACCCCAAGTCCGCCTACGAGAAGGCCTTCGGCTCGTTGGACGCGGCGAACAACAACAACAGCAACAGCAACGCCGAGAACGCGAGCAACACGAGCGCGAGCAGCATCGTCAGCATAGTCACCACGGCGACCACCACGGCAAACAGTTACCATCATCACCTGCACCACCATCATCACCCAGACCGGTTACCTAAGAGGGAGGACGGCAGCACTCTCAGGCCGCAGGACATCCCGATGCAATTGCGATCGCCGGAGATGCCGCCGCGGACGAGCCAAGAGCCGATCCTGAGGCCTGGTGACCTCGCGAGGGCACCACACGAGCTGCTCAGGCCCGAGGTCTCGAGGTTCCCCATGTGGAGGGGCCCGCCGCTGTTCCACCCGGCGCTTACGCACATGCAGCTGCTCAACACGCCGTTCTTCCCGTTCCAACAGCGCTTCATCGTGCCTTACGTGAACCAGGTGGGTCCGCCGCAGATGGTAACCAGCCTGTCGAGCTCGTCCAGCGAGAGCGTGACCCCGCGATCGACTCCGTCGCCCAAGAGGAGCGAAGAGAGCCGCGAGTGTCGCGAGGTCGGCCGCGAGACGGTCGAGCGAGGCTGCCCGAGGGCAGGATCGATCGAGGTCACGTACGACAAGAGCTTGGCGTTTCTGCGATCTCTCGGGCCGGAGCAAGAGGAACCGATGGACCTCAGTATGAAGGATGTGCGAACGGACGGACAGGAAGCGGACGCCGGCAGCACCGAGGAGGAGGACAAGTCGAGCGACAGCGAGGACAACGAGCTTCTTCAAGACACCGGGCCACCGTTGGACCTTACTCGGAAGACATGACCACGGACACCCGACGAAGGTGCTCGATAGGAACTCGACCGGATCGGACGTTCCAAGGCGTCCCGAGAACAAATCGTCGCGCGACGTCGCCGAGTGACGATGGCTCGCTGAAGATGGCTCTTGCAACGAAAGCCGGTAATCGAGACGTCGGAGGAGCAATGAACGCTCCAAGGGAGAGACTGATAGACGAGAAAACCCGATGAAAGACGAGGGACACGAGAAAGAGACAGAAGGGCGAGACGAAGGAAAAGAATAAGGAAAAGAAAGTGAGTTACGAACGGTGGAAGTGAGAGAAGAAGAGCACAGTTGCATCGTGATAACGTGACAGGCGCGAGAATTACGGCAAAGTATCCAAGGTGCGCTTCTCGGCGCGAGGAACGAGAAAAGAGGAGTAGTCGGACACGATTACGTTGGAACGACACGGGGGAAAAGTGAGAGGAGGAAGGACGCTAAAGAAGAAGAAGAAGAGGAAGTGTCGCGCATAGCCAGCCGGCATAAACGGCTTTACGATCGGCGAGCGTCTCGATCGATAAAAATTGCTCAAGCCGCTCGGTATCAGCCGGTTCTTCCCTTTGGCCCGGTCGTACCTCGGCAGGCAGGTGCACGTCGACGTGGGGCGAGACGAGGTTATCGCGGTGCGCGATATGTATGTCCTTTTCCTGTCGGGGAGGCGTACGACGGACGATTGTGCCTTAATTATAAAGCGGTGCCCCGAAGCTCGTGACGGTAAAAGCCGCCGTGACACAGTTTAACATTAAACAACATATGTAACCGCAACTCGTTCGATGGCCAGTGAGTAGTGCTTCGCGCGCACCATTGCGAACACCGATTCGACGGTGGTCGCGACCCGCGCTTCGATTCCGCGCTCATCACGCTCGTTCACCAGGAACTCGTTCCTCACAGGCGCCACGTTCACCACGCGTGAGACGCTCGGGCCGGGCGAGAGTGACGCGCGGGCGGGATAAATTGTGATTTCGCGAATTTCAAGTACTCCTAGCGTAACTTATATTCCTCGAAGAGCCTTTTTTTGGATGAATGGAGAACCATTATGCGTACACTGAAGAAGAAATATTTGGAAAGAAAGCGGCCAAGTTTTGTCTGATTTTGGGGCCTTCCGTAATGACAATTTCTTTTCATACAATTCAAGCTCGAATCGATTCCAAATATGTGTCTTTAATCTGAGCCTGAGAGTAATAGATAGCGCCACAAAAGATTAGCTTCAACTCATTATGACTTCAACCTGATAGGCACCTTCATGTTCACGTTCAAAATGAAAGGCGTTTTTTAAGGACAGATTTTTGTCGTTTACAAAGGATAGACATGTTAGCTGATACTTGTCTTTGTTTACATGACGCTATCTGTTGAAATTGGGATACTTTTAGGCCACTTTTCTCGAGAACAGTACGAGGTTCAGATTAGAGAGTTACACATTTAGAATCGACTCGATGTGAGTTCTAATCGTATGTAAAAAAATGAGCATTATCGAGGACTCCAAAATCAGGTGAAACATTTATGGATGCTTGGCCGCACTCTTTATTTGTGAGATACAAAGTTTATTCTTCAGAAACAAATCTTATTCCACAGAGATGAATTTTATCTCACAAGAACGAACTTTATATCCCACACGGAAAAAAAAGATTTGGTTGAATTAACCAAATATCTGATCGAATATGAACGATCCAGAAATCCCGATTGAAATAACCCGAATTCTATTTAAGTTAACCAAAAATCTTGTTAACTTATACAGAATTCAGGTTACTTCAATCGGAATTTCTGAATCGTTCATATTCGATCAGATATTTGGTTAATTCAACCAAATCTTTTTTTCCGTGCACAAATAAGTGTTCAAGTATTTTTTTTTCTCAGTGTGCGCAAGTGGGGAAGATGGACGCTCCTCCGAAATGCTCGCTGATCGTTCGCAGGCGAGCTCGCGATTGCGCTCAAGTACAAAAAGAGAGGACAGCCTGAATGTCTGAAAGGTATCTTGGAAACGACAGATATTCTACTTGTTTCATACGTCTTTGGGATACCTCTGAGATGTATTTTAGACACTTGTGCTGTCTGGGGACCATGGAGAGGCGACGCGGTAGCGAACACGATTGGACAGTATGCTCGCAGAACAGGCATTGTTCGAATGTCTTAAGTGTCCAAGAGAGAAGGAGAGAGCGCGAAGTGAAATAAAAAAATATTGTATACCTGAATGTGACACCTGGATATCGTCGTTCATTACATCCCTCTCATCGATCTTCAATCTCTCGCGCGTCGGCGCGGACGCATACGAACGCGAGACGGTATTCCATTACTTTCGTCTGGCGCGTCTCTCTCACATTCCTCACAACCGCGAGCCCGCGTATTATAATATTATACATGCGCTCGCTCGCGTATGTGTGGACGCGTATCATCGTACCTCTGATGTTATTTATCTAGCAATAAATTTGTCCGGCTTGATATACTACGTGAAACACGTTTTCCCGATAGTTTCACGCCGAAGCGACGCGACGCTCACCCTCTCGCCCAGCAAGAATGATGCGATTCCCCCCTCGCCGGGGACGTCGAAAACGCTTGACAATAAATTTTCTTAAAAGTTCAGCAATAAACACGCGAGTATATCGATCGTAAGGTTTCTCCTCCTAAGGTCGTCTGACCGGGTCAGCCGCGCGCGATGCCGGAGATGCGTGCGCGCGAGAAAAAGTTTCGAGGAGACGCGCGCGCGCGCCAAACGGCCCGGTTGACGAGCGCGCGAGCGCGCCTACTAGGAAGTGCGTACTTGCGCGGAAGTTTTATTGCTAATTACGTTACTCCACGAAATCAAGGTGGTTTCGCGCCGCGCCGCGCAGCGCCGCGTAATATCCCGCGCGGCTCCCGATAATTTATGAATATCCGCGTCGCCGGGAGGATCCGGCGAGGCTCGTTCTCTCTTCTCTCGTGCCGCGATCCTAGCCGAGAGATCACGACCGTACTCACGTTTCGCGACACGATTCGTCCGCGGAGTTTCGTCGTACAGGAGAGTTTTCACCTGTCTTGAAAGGTTTCCGCCTCCGTAGCCTCTTTGATGAATATCTTAATGCATCTTGGACCGTTGCGGTAATATTAGCGGGCTTATCGAGGAACGATGCCACGCTTGGGGTATCTAAGAATACAATACAAATTGCAAACTATTGTGCAAAGAGGAAGTTGTAAAGAAGAAATTGCGAACAAGTGTTGCTTTCTTTCTTTTTTTATTTTAACTACGAGACGTGACTTTACACTGGGGTTTCAGTCGAAGAGCGTGCGTTGCTGCAAATTACACGGAGCTCAAGAATTTCTGAATTTCACCAAACTTTGTGCTGTGTACAGCACGCATATCTGTTTAATTTATGCACAGTCTGCGTAGGCTCGCGAGTACTCGCACATGACATCTCCAAAGTTAGACTAGGACGTAATAAGCCTGGCGACACGGCACGGATTGTGCAACGCAAAACGTGCAGGTTCTCAAAATCGTGTAAAGTTTACCGCGCGAGCCCCGACGCGAGTTCTCTGTCAATATCCTTAGCAATGAAATGGCCTTCCCGAGCTAGAGCTCTCAAATAACATCTCGGTACATGTTTTCGCGTATCTCCTCCTATGTATCATCATCCTATGTAGTTGATATATCAAAGTAATTAAGCCATATCAACCATATTACTATCACATAAAGTTAACTAGGGCGATACAATTACGCTGCTCACAAGGAAATATCTCTGATTATGTGCACCATATCTTTTTTTTGTGTATCATTAAGCATTTAATAATATCCGGCTAGGTGGATCGAGTAATCGTTAGCACCAAGAGATTTCCTTTACGTGGCATATTATAAACGTATCTCGCCATTGAAGGCTCCAATGGTAGGTAGCTGCTACTCGAGCGTTTCCGCGTTTCGATCCGTCTACGAGGCTTTCTCGATGCACGGGGAAATTAGCAGGTAAATTCACGAGAAAATTCACGAGGAAGCGTACGTGCGATGTGACGATGTAGCCGGCGGTATACACGTCTCGGCGAGAGGTGTTCACCTGCGTGCACCTGCGTGTTCTACGCGCGGTTACACCCGTAACCCCGCGACGGTAAAATACCGTCGAGCCGGGTCCGCTTGTTGACTTAGGTGGGACGAGAGAGGCCACTCGATGTCCACCATCGCACCGGCGGCGATTTCCTGTCGGGCCCCTGCCTGATTCAGGTTTCCGAGGGGGCAGGCAAGTCTCGCACACGCCGGGAAAAAGTGTGACGAGGCGTAATATCGCGCGCGTGGCCATTTGAAATTCTGTCGGGACGAGACGCGCCGCGTTGTCGCGTTATCGCGCGCAACAAGGGACGCGAACTCGGGCTGCCACATGCTTTACCGCGGAGAAAATATTCAGAGACGTGCGATTCGGAGACTCTGTGTCTCTTTCGTCAATTTACACACGATAAGCTTGAGATAACAGAATCTTACTTCATAATTAATACGACAGAGGAGAAAAAGACGAAGAGTGAACATCGGCGTTGTGTAGCCGACGGCAATAACGTGTGCGTCTCGTATCGGATGTCTCGTATCGGACAGTCAAAATTTGTCATGAACGATAACACGCGCGTCAAGAATGTCGTGAAAAGTCGCAGATGGCATCGTCGATCAGTCGAATTCCTGTAATATCGAAAAGCGTGCAAGTGCACGCGCGAAGTCATTAATCACGTCTATCAGGCCGACACTGTCGAGAAATTCGATCGTTTAATCATCCTGACACCTTGTCGAACGTGACACGCGAGGGTATCCGTTATTTCATCGTCCTTAAAAGCGGTAGCAATTTCTGCTCCGACTTTTTAGCAAATTCCTCTCACGTTAGATCGTATGCTATTCATGCCACTTATGCATACACGTTTCATCCTTTTTTCTACGCGCTGTCCTTCCCGATATCGATCTTTCTGAGGATGGCGTCATTATTTATAGCTTCCTACCTAAAAAACCGCGTTCGCATTATTAAGCATAAAGCTTCGCCTTATTAAGCATAATGGAATATGGTAAAAATGCACTCAAGGCGATGAGGCATTGTGGACGTTAACGTCGCTTCACGACAGTCGTTTTTAATTCCGTGCGCTAGATTGTTCTCGAAATTTACGCTCTCTTGAGTTCCGCGTCGCGCTTATTTCTTACGTCGAACGTCTTTATAACAATTTTTTTTACGCCATATATCTGCCAGACCGTAAACGTTGCCCGTTGTTTCTTACACCGCATTGCTTATTCCCTGCCTATGCACGCAATTGCGACGTTACGAATTAGCCATTCGTCTATCCGTATGTTGTTTCATTGTTTCCGTCTATTCGCTGTCTTGACATGTTAAGGAGTTTATTTGCCAGCTATGTATTTTTTCAGGGCGCTCAAACAGGCATATTTTCAGTGGCACATCACAAAAGAAGCTGCTCATAAATTCATTATTTATCGAACAAAATAACGTTTTTACATAATTATTTCACTAAATGATAAATTAAATGATAAACGTTAATTTGAAACTTCATATTTCGATAGCTATCTATATCGCTTCTGCCACAAAGTTACATGTGCAAAATTGCGAAATATTCAGTATTAAATTTCTCACGAAAGCGGTGTAAACAAACCGCATGAGACTTTAACTACGAATGTACTACAATAAATGTTACGTTAAATTTGTGTATAATTTTGCTTTAAGTGAAACAGCTCCTTAACCACGATGACCGCCGTGTGATTATCCTCAGTGGAGCGCGTAGGTACCTTTCTCCTCTTTGAAATTTGGACTCGTCTCAAGAGCATGCTACTCCCCTCTATCTATCTCTTTCGTGCCGCTTCGTCTAGATACATCCTTTATCGCGCGAATCCTTTTTAGCGACGCAATGTCGTTTTACTATTTAGGAACGGCGGCGAATAACCGATATCGCGCTGGACGATCATCCTATTCGTATCTGCTCAAGTAATCGGGGGTGTTACCGCACGCAGTGTCAAAATAGGCCTCGTCTCGAGGTCACGCCATGTCCCTGGACGTCTAAAAATTCTGACCACATCATCGTGCGACCGTCTCGTAGCGCGGGAGAAAGAGGGACGCCCGATTTTTGCGCTCGTCACTCGGGAGAGAACCGTTCGATCCCTGCGAGAGACTCCTCGAGAGACGTCTCTCTCTCCCGCGTCGCGAATGGTGTGTTTGCCCATGTCCTTTTTTCTCTCCTTGGCGTCTCGCGCCTCCTAGATGAGTTACGTAAATCTCGACGAGGAAACCGTATAGCACGACCATCTTGTCATAAATTAATAAACTCTCCTTCTCTCTCTCTTTCTCTCTCCCCGTTCCTTCTCTCGTCCTGTCTGTTACAAGAGCGATTGAAGGAGAGTGAGGGACGGAAAAAATGCGGTAACCGGAAGGGAGCGAGAAATAGACAGACAGACAGACAGACAGACAGACAGACAGACAGACGACCGACCGACCGACCAACAGACAGACAGAGGGGGAAAGAGGCCGGGAGGGAGGGACGGAGCGACGAAGGAGAGAGCCCGGAAGAGAAGGAGGACCGGTTGCTTGTTCATTGACGGGGCGAAGGCCCCCGCTCGTGAATGGTGGTGGACATTCGCGAGAGCCAAGAATAGGATCTTCTCTCGACGATCTTGAATTTTTCTGCGTCGCGCGTGAACCTCGCGCCATGGCCGTGTCACGTCGCGTCCCCCTCCTTCCCTGCCTCTCCCCGCTCACCGGGGACG